CATAGCTGTAATTAGCAGTGAGTGGGTGTGTAAGTGTTGGAGTGTTAGAGGGATGCGTGTGGGATATCCAGGGTGATCCAGTGTATGTGAACAGTGAGTTGTTTGGGCGCTGAAGTCGCCATAACTGATTGAGAGTGAACTCATATCTGAAGCCATATCTCTGAGTCTTGTGTGGGCGCATGTCGCCAGTATGCTGCGTTGCTGTTTACATGCATGAAAAGTGTGTTTGAAAACGAGTATGATTGCATAATGAGAGGGGACCTTCACTGGCCCTTGCCCGTCCGGGCTGCCCAGAAATCAAGATGACCCGTTCAGCCGGGTTGGTAACACAGCTCATACAATTATTTGATACTGGTTGTGTGTGTGTCGATTCTTCTAAGTGCAGGTGCCATCAACTTTTGACATGAAAAATTAAAAAAAAAGAATTAAAAGCAAGGATAAGAAATAAAAAATAAAGTAGATACTTACTGAAAAAGTAAAGGTAACCTGTAATCTACATCATCTCATGCAATTTTATGCTTTTGCTTGCTTGCTGATTGCTCTAATTGCAGGTGCCAGCCACTTTCGACTTTCGATTTCTTAAGCGCCCATTAACCATAACTGTGAACGGAAGCGGCGATCAGACGGCAAAACTTCGTCGCCAAGGCAGAAAGCTACTTGACACAGAGAAAGTCACTTTTTTCGTCGACAAGCAAAGAGAGCTGCATGAAGGGGTACGCACCCATTCTCTTCTGTGTGTGTGGGGGGGGGGGGGGGGGGAAGGAGGGCGAAGGTGTTAGGTAAAAAGAAAAAAAAAGAAAAGACAACAAAGTTGAACAAACGCTTCATTTGAGACATCATCCGCTAAAATTGGAATGGGACAGAGAAGTTTGATTAGCATGGCAAAAAAAAAAACCGTAACTGTTGCACTTACTTCTCTGGTGAGAAAAAAAAGACGTACTCGTTTCTCTTATGCCTTGGAAGTGCAAATTCATCTTCATCGGTGTCGAATAAGCAGGAGTGTAGCTGGCTCTGATGCCTGCATAGTACGTACTACGTGCATATAACTCTTGAGAAACAGCAGATCCGGCGCTCAGACCCTGTTGGACACAGTAAGGTAAAGTGCTACACAAGAGGGGAAGAAAAAAGAAATTTATTGTAGTATTGTGAGCACGTTCGATGCATGGATTTGTCCTCCTTTCTTATCGGGTGTTCTCCCTGTGTTCGTGTATAATCATGGCTGTTTTTGTTTGGTTGTGTGTGTGTAAGAGAGAGAGAGAGAGAGAGAGAGAGAGAGAGAGAGAGAGAGGGCCTGAGCAAGAGGAGATGTATTGCTATCTGTTTCCGAAGCACATGAGGAGGAAAGGGTTTATAGAGAAGGGTGAGGAGGAGAAAAAGGGGGGGGAGGAATGCACCCGAAGCGGGGCGGTTCTCAAGGTTGTACGGCACTCTACCTCAGAGAAGAGAGACGGCTGTCAAGCAAAATGTTCTTCCTCAGAGTATGAAGATAATCAGAAGGGTAGAGAGGTTTTGAGGACAGTCACTTTTGTTGCTGACTCAATCCTAAACACCTCACCGACTGTTGGTTGCTGATGACGCTGTTTGATGACCGATCAAAGAAGAGGAACTACAAGGTGATTCACCAGTAGAGTGACACTTGCCAAGTACCTCCTCTTGCATCAGCAATCGCCATGTCTTCCTTCGCCCTTCTGCCCATCTGTTCTCAGCTTAACAGATGAGATGTCCAGCTGGCGAGAAGTCAAAACGCTGCTGGTCGATCCTGTTGCTGGTTCCGCATCTTCCATCTCGCTGGCTATAGATGATGACCTTCACAGGGAACCGCACTGGCACCGATTGCAAGGAACCTGCTCTGCGGAGAAGCTTAGGGCACACACGCCGTGAACTTTCAGTTGAGCAATGTGCACACGGCTGTGGCATCGGACTTCTTCCCAGCATTCAATCTGCGGTGGCACTGGCTGCCATGGCGCTAGCCTTCTTCTCCAGCACGGAAGCTGCCATAGCGCCAGCCTTCTTCCCAGCGCAGAAGCTGCCATATCGCCAGCCTTCTCTCCGAGCGCGGAAGCTGCCATACCGCCAGCCTTCCTCCTAGTGCCCCAAACTGCCATGGCGCCAGCCTTGGGCTTCTCTCACAGCCCAGCCAGAAACTGCCATGGCGCCAGCCTTGGGCTTCTCTCACAGCCCAGCCGTTGCTGGCGTTGCCTGTAGGGTTAAGCCATTCCTTTCCGCTAGCATGGCTCACTGTGACCGGGCGTTCTATTCAGGTGAAGACGGGCGGTACAAACAGATTCCGCAGAAAACTGTATAGAAATTACAGAAATCGCTGCAGGAAATGATTGAACAGACAAATAAGCATAGCATAGATGTGTATCTGTATTTTTTCAGGTGGGAGATTCGGTATGGGTACTATGGGGTGAAAAAACTATAGAGTCCAGAAGAGACTATTTCAAGAAAACGGCCATCGGCTAACCCTGTACTACGGACCATGGACAGTACTCCATATTGCAGGTAATGATCCTGATGGTCCAAGTGCCATTCATGTCCCACCTCATCTTCGAACCCATCTGGCTTTCCATGCATCGAAGCTGTTGCATTCGAGTACTGAAGTCTAATGATGGATTGCCTTTTGCTTAGATCAGTGCTACTGCCCTCAATGGGTGATATCGCTTCCCTCTTCCCCCGAGTACTATGTTGCCTAGTTGTGAATGCGAAAAACTTCGAGTCCGGTCACGCGCAGTCATATGGAGGTGTGTTGTGCTCGAGTCTTTAGGGAAGGTGGTAGTTGCTCACAAGATTTTTTTGTCTGGTCGGTTGTTTTCCTGTGCACAGAGAAATGCGGGAATATCCTATGTAAAGGTGGGCAATCTCTGCTGTCACTCTCGTGTCTTTCTTTTTCCTTGCCACGTCCCGAGTTCGTACATGATGCAAAACTCAGATTCAGGACAAGGACATCAATCACAACACAAAGAAGAGGAGTTGGAGATAGTGAAGTGAGGAAAAAACTTCAAAAAAGAACAATAAGAAGAGAGTGGCGGCCGCAATGACAAGGATGACATATACGACAAGGATGGCGATTACGATGAAGAACAAGAAGAAGAAGAAGAAGAAAAAGAAGATGAAGAACACAACAGCAACAAAAACAACAACATCGAGGAGAAGAAGAAGAAGAAGAAGAAGAAGAAGAAGAAGAAGAAGAAGAAGAAGAAGAAGAAGAAGAAAAAGAAGAACACAACAGCAACAACAGCAACAAAGAAGAAGAGGAAGAAGAAGCAGAAGATGCCGACAACAAGAAGAAAAGGAGACCGTGCCGGCAATAACAATGAGGACGACGACAAAGAAGAAGAAGATGTAATGACCCAACCAAACACGGACTGAGACACAGGTGATTTCTGAGTTTTGCTCACGGACTGAATGCCTTGCTGAGTTTCCCGCTTGCTACCAAGTTCTGCATGTCTGTGTGTGTGTGCATGCTTGCTGGTCTGCATGTCTGTCTGAGTACTGGTTGGCTTGAGTGTTTGTGTGACCCGCAAGGGTACTTGTCCGTTCATTGGGCCCTCAGGGCCGGTACTTACCTGTGGCCGTGACAGTGAGGGATTGCAGCGGGGGGAAACACTCGAGTAGCAGGTAGGCCGGTACCGCACCCTGAAGAGGTAGATGTGCGGGTACTGGAGGCCGAGCAGAAGAAGACAGAAGTGGCATTTTGAGAGGCCCAGTAGTTGTAGGCTAGGTCTAGGCGGGKACCAGTCCAACCAGTCTGAGTCTAGGGCCTGTACGGGCAATATCAGAGTCTGCAATGATGATTCCCTCCTAAAGGGAGGAGGTACCGGTTGCTGGGAAGGCCGAGCGGCCTGGAAGTCACCGCCCAAGAGGCAAGCAGGCCGCTATATCTCCAGGCCGGGCGAAGAGCCCAGCCTCATTGTCTGTGTGCGAGTTTGGCGACACACTGGTTGGAGCTGTTACGAGCGGGAGACTGAGGGAGACAGGGAGAGCCGAGGGAGAGGAGAGAGGGAGAGAGGGAGAGCACACACACACACACTCACTCACTCGACACGACTGAGGGTCGGACGCAGACACACGGGCAAGGACACAAAGTCGAAGTCTTGGATTCTGAAGGCCGAACAGGATCAAGTCACACTGAGTACGAGTACAGCAGCAGAAAACTGGTACCAGACTGGTCCCCGTACCGTACGGGGAGCCGGTATAAGTACCGGTGACACATACGGTACCAGGGGCATTTCTGCAAAGGCCCCGAGGGCAGAACTGAAAAATGCAGTATTTGAAAAGTGGCGCCTGAATTGCAGCATGGCGCCATTTGTCCAAAATCCTACGGTACCAAGGGAGGGGTTTGGAAAA